GGGTTATTAGCAATCATGGGGAGCTGGCATGTCAAGGTGAGGTCCTCACAGCCCGGATGTCCCCGCCTGCCCCTCGTGCCTGCCCAGCCTTCTTATAATCACCCGCCACTGTTAGTGACCGAGGCCGCGACGCCACACTGTACCCTTTAAATCTCCAACAGGTCCGCTGGAGGAGTGGGAGGGAGAAGAGAAGGAACAGGATCCAGGGTGTGGGAGGAGAGCAGAGGGAGGAGGGAGGAGGGATGAGGGGTGCAAGGAGAAAAGGAAGAAAAATTAAAAAGAGAAACATGCCCAGAAGGACACAGCCCATGAGAAATAAAAAGGTCAGGAAAGAAACCCGTGAGGGAGGGGACAGAGCGCCTCCCAGCCCTGGGGTGGGGGCAGCTGAGCAGATGGGGAGGAGGGCGCACGGCAAGCTGGACCTCCCCAGAGAGAGAGAAGCCCTGCCACAGCCTCTTCTCGGTGGTGGGGGAGGGAAGGGCCCCGCGGGGCAGGAGCAGGGAAGCTGGGCGTCTGGCCGGGCACCTGGGATGGCATCTGGGACCCTCAGGGATGCAGGGCCCACCCTCACCCCCACCCCTCCCAGGACCCTGCACTCACCGGGACCTGGGTCGCCAGGGGGCACTGTCCTGCCAATGTTGGGCAGGAGATACTCGATGTTGGGTACTGACTGCGGCTCCTTGTCATCCACAGGGGTCTGCGAACAGAAGGGGGTCAGCCACCAGGCGCTCAGACGGCCAGCCTGGATCCTGCAGAATGGGGTCCCCTGGAGGCAGGGCGCACGTCTCCTCCACAGACGGGCTCAACAGGGCAGTGCTGTCTCCCTCATCACGCAGGCACCCTCGAGGGCAGGTCTCCGTTGGACCGTTTTGTGCCTCCCCAACACCTTGATCGAGCCCCAAAGTCCTGAGCTGCTCCCTCCGCTGAAGGCAGGAGCTGTGTCTCCCCCACCAGCCTGGACCTTCCTAAGGCTACACCCGCTGCATAAGACTGAAAGGTGGGTGTCTGCCTTTGCTACCAGACGCTGTTTCTTTAAAGGAGGCCTGTACCCCCCACCCCCTGACTGAGAACTCCCGGAGGCAAGGATGTGTCTCCTCTTGCGTGGGTGCTCCTGAGGAGAGGGTCTATGTTTCCTCCCTCAGAGTGGGGTGCCCCAGGGCGGGGACCTCCTC